ATAAAATAAATTCACGCCTTCATTAATTTTTTTGAGTCACCCTGCATATGCAAATCCAAAAATATGAATAGAATGATAAATCACAAGTACAGACTCATCATATTTTGTACATTTTAGATACGATTTATTCGGCAAACTTTTGAGCTGACGTCATCAGTTTTTTGTAGAAGATAACCAAATATATTTTGACTAAAAATTTATTATGCTCTTTATAACCTTAAAACATCTGCAAGATTTCAAAGCATTCGGTTTTGTAGTTCCTGATTAAATCAATAAAAAATTTACGCATTCATTAATTTTTTTGAGTCACCCTGTATATGCAAATCGAAAAAATTTGAATGGAATGATAAATCACAAGAAGAGACTCACCATATTTTGTACATTTTAGATAGGATTTATTCAGCAACATTTTGTGGTGACGTCATAAATTTTTTAGGGGGGACGACCAAATACGTTTTGATCAAAAATTTACCATGCTTATGATAATTTTAAAATATCTTCAAGATTTCGAAGCATTCGGTTTTGTAGTTCCTGAGTAAATCAGTAAAATAAATTTACGCTTTCATTTATTTTCTTGAATCACCCTGTATATGCAAATCCAAAAAATATGAATGGAGTGATAGATCACAAGTACAGACTGATCATATTTTGTACATTTTAGATATGATTTATTCGGCAAATTTTCGAGCTGACGTCATCAAGTTTTTGGAGGGGATAAGCAAATATATTTTGACTAAACATTTATTATGCTCTTTATGACCTTAAAATATCTGCAAAATTTCAGAGCATTCGGTTTTGTAGTTCCTGATTAAATCAATAAAATATATTTACGCATTCATTAATTTTTTTGAGTCACTCTGTATATGCAAATCTAAAAAATATGAATGTAGTGATAAATGACAAGTACAGGCTCATCATATTTTGTACATTTTAGATATGATTTATTCGGCAAACTTTCGAGCTGACCTCATCAAGTTTTTGGAGGGGATAAGCCAATATATTTTGACTAAACATTTATTATGCTCTTTATGACCTTAAAACATCTGCAAGATTTCAGAGCATTCGGTTTTGTAGTTCCTGATTAAATCAATAAAATATATTTACGCATTCATTAATTTTTTTGAGTCACCCTGTATATGCAAATCCAAAAAATATGAATGGAGTGATAGATCACAAGTACAGGCTCATCATATTTTGTACATTTTAGATATGATTTATTTCACAAACTTTTGAGCTGACGTCATCAAGTTTTTGGAGGGGATAAGCAAATATATTTTGACTAAACATTTATTATGCTCTTTATGACCTTAAAACATCTGCAAGATTTCAGAGCATTCGGTTTTGTAGTTCCTGATTAAATCAATAAAATATATTTACGCATTCATTAATTTTTTTGAGTCACCCTGTATATGCAAATCCAAAAAATATGAATGGAGTGATAGATCACAAGTACAGACTCATCATATTTTGTACATTTTAGATATGATTTATTCCACAAACTTTTGAGCTGACGTCATCAAATTTTTTGGAGGGGATAAGCAAATATTTTTTGACTAAAGATTTATGATGCTCTTTATAGCCTTAAAACATCTGCAACATTTCAAAGCATTCTGGTTAGCAGATTAAAAATTAAATTTCAAAATGTTGTTTTATAATTTTGATTTTTTTTCCAAAAATCTGGACGTTTCGGGTGAAAAGTCGATTCAGAGTTGTAAACTACATGTGTAGGACTATGCTATTTTATACAATTGAAAACCCATTTACTATGTACAATTTTGAAGTGACGTCATCGCATTAGTGGTGGGGATGATTAGACAAATTTTGGTTAGCGTTTTACCATCTACATGATATTCTTAATATAAGTACAAAATTTCACAACAATCGGTCGAGTACTTTCGGAGATTATCTGTCTAATAAAATCCGGGACAACAGACGGACAGACGGACGGACAGACGGACGGACAGACGGACGGACAGACGGACGGACAGACGGACGGACAGACGGACGGACAGACGGACGGACAGACAGACGGAAATGGGAGACCTATTTCTTCGTCTTATAGGGGTCATGAAAGATCGAGAAAACGTAAAAGTAGAGAGTCGGCCGACGGACTCGATTACAATACTTCCTTTGCTTACGCTCGGGAAGTAAAAATACTATGTATATTAAGAAAGAAAGAAAAATATTAAAACAAAAACAACAGATTTTTTTTTATTTTAAAATTGTTGGCTATTGGTAATTTTTTTATTGAATAATAGGTACGTGTGTGTTTTGTTCATTTTTCATTACTTTTTAGATAATCAGTTCTATTCTAAAGCGTTGGAATGTTTTTTCCTGTGTTGTTTACTACTAAAATCGCTTCTTCCGAATGGATTCAAAGGTCCCTTGAGTTCTAGTTATAGAGGATATTAAGTATGCATAGTATGCTTTGAACAACGCGATACTGAATAATGTTTTTAATTTCTCGTAGAGAAATAAAGACTTTGCAGTTGAGCTCCGCCCTCTTGGCTCACGACGAATAAAACAAATCATCGCAATTGTGGTAGGGCGGGTGGGCGGGACTACATTTTGCCTTTTTTTTCTTAATAATTGTAATCATATTTTCACAACAAGAAACTTGAAACAATGGTAAATTTGTCTAGGGAAATATCGATTTTGCAATTACGCCCCGCCCCTCGGTCTGACAACGAATGAAAAATTCAACACGGTTGAGATTGAGACGGCTGGGTGGGGCTTCTCCTTTGAGTTTTCTTTTTTAATTAATACATTAAGTTTCTTTTGTAGAATACGATTACTTAAGAACGTATTTTACATGGTAATTTCTCATAGAAAAATAAGAATTTTACAATTAAACGAAAATGAATAAAAAAATCATCAGAATTGAGATAGGGTGGGTGGGCGGGGCTTATATTTTGCGTTTTTTTCTTAACACACATACCCATTATGCATAACAAGAAACTAAAAACACGTTTAAAATAGTAAATTCTTGTGGACAAATATGGATCTTGCAATTAAGCGTCGCCCTTCGATCTCACGACGAATGAAAAATTCATCACAATTGAGACTTGACAACGGAGCAGCTATGGGTGGGACCTAATCTTTGGCTTTATTTTATGATGTTTACTTAATAGAGCATTACACTTCATACATTTCTGGAAAAAAACGATAATATTTTCATCAAAATTGTAAACATCAAAAATTAGTTCAGTGAAGCAAAATAATATTAAATAATAGCTTCGTCCACCCACCCTCTCTGTTCTTAGACTATATCTCTTAGCCAAAGTCAGTCTTATGTTAACAGCTATTTGCCCCGCCCACCCACCCTCTTTTTTTTAGAAGGTATGTCATACACCAAAATCAGTTTAATCTTAGAAGGGATTAGGCCCGCCCACCCGCCCTTTTTGTTCTTACAAAGTATCTCATTTGCCAAAATCATTCTTATGTTAACAGCTATTAGCCCCGCCCACCCACCCTCTCGTTCCTTACAGGGTATTATATTTGCCAAAATCAGTTTTAGCAAGTACTGATGACCAATTTTAACCCCATCTCAATTGTGATGATTATTTTAATTCTTAGAACCAAAAACCCGTTTAAAATTGTAAATTTTTGAACGGAAATATGGATTTTCCAATTAGGCTCCGCCTCTAGGTCTGCCGACCAATGAAAACTTCATTACTATTTACATCAGGGCAGGTATGGGTGGAGCTGAATCTTTGGCTTTAATTTTTCCTTAATATACATAGTATTCTTTTAACAACACGATACTGATACAAATGTCTTACATGGTAGTTTCTTGTAGAGAAATAATAAGAATTTTGCATTTAAATTAAAAAAAAAAATCTCGACAATTAAGAAAAATCACCACAGTCGAGATAGGGCGGGTGGGCGGGCTCACATTTCGTCTTTTTTAAAAACATGTTTAAAATGGAAAATTTGTATAAAAATTTACAACTAACAAATTTTCCATTTTAAACATGTTTTAAGTTTCATGTTGTGAAAAAAAGTCTACACATATTAAAACAAAAAGACAAAATATAACCCCGCCCACCCGCCCTGTCTTCATTGTGATGATTTTTTTTATTCACCGTGAACCAAGTGGGCGGAGCTTAACTGCAAAATACTTATTTCTTTACAAGGAATTAAAAACTTGTTTTTCAGTATCATGTTCAAAGAATACTATGTATATTAAGAAAAAAAGGAAAAATATTAAAACAAAAATAAGAGATTTTTTTTATTTTAAAATTGTTGCCTATTGGTAATTTTTTTATTGAATAGTACGTGTGTGTTTTGTTCATTTTCCATTACTTTTTAGATAATCAGTTCTATTCTAAAGCGTTGGAATGTTTTTCCTGTGTTGTTTACTACTAAAATCGCTTATTCCGAATAGATTCAAAGGTCCCTTGAGTTCTTGTTATAGAGGATATTATGCATAGTATGCTTTGAACAACGCGATACTGAATAATATGTTTTTAATTTCTCGTAGAGAAATAAGGACTTTGCAGTTAAGCTCCGCCCTCTCGGCTCACGACGAATAAAACAAATCATCGCAATTGTGGTAGGGCGGGTGGGCGGGGCTACATTTTGCCTTTTTTTCTTAATATGTGTAATTATATTTTCACAACAAGAAACTCGAAACAATGGTAAATTTGTATAGGGAAATATCGATTTTGTAATTACGCCCCGCCCCTCGGTCTGACAACGAATGAAAAATTCAACACGGTTGAGATTGAGACGGATGGGTGGGGCTTCTCCTTCGGGTTTTCTTTCTTAATTAATACATTTAGTTTCCTTTGTATAATACGATTACTTAAGAACGTATTTTACATGGTAATTTCCCGTAGAAAAATAAGAATTTTACAATTAAACGAAAATGAATAAAAAAATCATCAGAATTGAGATAGGGTGGGTGGGCGGGGCTTATATTTTGTTTTTTTTCTTAATATAGCCATCTTTTCAAAAGAAAAAATTAAAACATGGTTAAAATGCTAAATTTTTTCCAGGTCTGGTTTCAAAACAGACGCGCCAAATGGCGCAAAGCCGAGCGCCTCAAAGAAGAGCAGCGGAAAAGAGACGGCCAAGACGTAGTCAAGCGGGACCAGGAAGAAACCAAAGAAGAGAAAGTGGACGAGACGAGTTCCCCGGAAGTGATGACCGCTCCAGACGAAGAAATGGGCAGAGAGTGTTCCAGCAGGAGCAGCGGTCGCGAAACGCCGGAGCAGAGACCCGTGGAGGCGTCTCCCGATCCCGCGTCGCCCCAGAGTCCCGCCGCCTCCGCCTCATCGGAGCCGCCAAGGCCGGGACCGCCGCCATTTTCGCACATGTTTCCGTTCGGGGACAGGTAGGCAGAACCGTCTTTGACAATTTTTGTGATATAGGCTCGCTTCGCTCCTGATTGTTTAAAATGATAGAAAGAAGAGATGTAAATCAGTTCTAAAAATACGAGCCTAGAAAGCCTAATTGATTCCGCGAATTCGGTGCAGAAATTCGTCTTTGGGCACGCGTGTCAGCAAAGGTCGCCTGAAATTTCGTCCAGAGGCCATATCGATGAAGCTCCCTCCCCTGGCCCTCCGGAATTCATGTGACGAGTTAGCCGACAAAGTAATTAACGCCCATGACATCATGGCTCGTTTAGATTGGAGATTTCACTGCTGAAATTGATGAGTTAGTTAATTTTAAGTGCGTGATGTTATCAATTAACAAGTGTTTAAATTAATTATTTAATAATTACCCTACATGTTCTTGGATAATGGAGCGATGTAGCTCGTCTTCTTTAACCGTCTCACTCATTAACGGACACAATTGTTTGATAAACACTGTTACGATTTTGGCCCCGCCTCCGACTCCGGAAAAACCCGGCGTCCCGGAAACTTTCCCACAGCCGGAGCCGATGCAAACAGCGAAGCTCTCGTGCATTCTAATTAGCATCAATTACGGCACTAACGCAATTAGTACGAACGATGCCACTCACCACCACCAATTAATCGATGATGTCATGAATGCCGGAGAAACGGTTGAGAAAAGGGATGAACGATTTATGAGGGGAAAAAGGGCACGCTTAAGAGGACTACGTCTTGAAGACGGGCTCATTAAAGTACCGCTGATTTAGTACTTCGTTCCAGCGGGAAGCTTTCATAAAATTAAGGTGATTTGATTGTGTTTTCAAGTGGTTATACTGAATTTATTATAATCAATCGTACGCTCAAAATTCGAACGTTGTAGGTCTAAATCTACTAAAATATTATTATTACTATTACGATTATTATTATTGATGTTGTTTTTTATTATAACTTCGTCCAAATTGTTTGGTCCTAGCACTTGGTAAGAAAAAATTGATTTTGGCTAATAAGATACCTTCTAAAAAGAAAGAGGGTGAACGGGTGGACGGAGCTGGTCACAAAAATAATAATATTAATAAAAATAAGAATTAATGAGAGATCTTTTAGCAAATTATATAAATATATGTATATAATATATTTATTTTGCATATTTGGATTTCTTCATTTTTCGTTTTACGATATTTTAATTTTTCAGTGTTTCAGATTTTAGTTTTTTCAATTTTTCAGTTCTTCGATATTTTTTAATTTTTCAAATTTTGACGTTCCTGAATTTCCAGTTTTCCGATTTCTCAATTAATCTATTTTTTTATTTTGCCATTTCTCGACTTCCCAAAGGTTCGATTTTTCAGTTCTTCAGTCCTTCATTTTCCGATTTTTCAATTTTTTGATTTCTCAATTTTTCGATCTTTTAAGCTTGCGATTTTTCGACTTTGCTTTTTTGATTTTCGATTTCTGAATTTTTCAATTTTTCTTCTATTTTTCAGTTTTTCGATGTTTGAGTTTTGGGATTTTTTAGTATTTCGACTTTTCGATTTTTCGAGTTTTGGATTTTCGATTTCTTGACGTTTTACTTTTTGAATTTTCAATGTTTCGATTTTAAACTTTGGATTTTTTAATTTTTCTGTTTTATACTTCGATTTCTCAATTTTTCAACTTTTTAGTATTTTAAGTTTTCATGACTTCAAGTGACGAATAGGACGAAAAAGGACGAAAAGGTCGAAAAGGACGAAAAGGACGAAAAAGGACGAAAGGGACAAAAGAGGACGAATAAAGACGGAAAAGGACGAAAAGGACGAAAAAGGACGAAACGGACGAAATGGACGAAAAAGGAAGATGAAGGATGAAACAGGACGAATAAGGACGAAAAAGGACAAAAAGGACGAAAGGGACGAAAAAGGACGAAGATGGACGAAAAGGACAAAAAGGACGAAAAAAAACGAAAAGGACGAAAAATACGAAACTGACTATAAGGGCGAAAAAGGATAAAAAGGATAAATAGGACGAAAAAGGACGAAAAAGGACGAAAAAGGACGAAAAATACGAAAATGACGATAAGGACGAAAAAGTACAAAGTAGGATCAAATGGACGAAAAGGACGAAAAAGGACACAAAAGGACGAAACAGGACGAAACGGACGAAAAGGAAATTTTCTGAATTTTTAAATTTTTAATTTCCCAATTGTTTTTTTTAATTTTTCGATATTCCAATTTTTCGATGTTTCGAAATATAAATAGGCCCAAATCGAAAAATCGAAAAGATAAATATGGAAAATTCGATAAATCGAGAGATTAAACAATCAAAACATGGAAACATCTGAATCTTGATAAATCAAGAAGACAAAATTTAAAGTTTATAAAACGAAAACGGTATAATCCAAAAAATAAAAAATCGAAAAATCCAGAAGTCGAAAAATCGAACTATTGAAAAATCCCATAACTGAAAGAGATATCCAAACATTAAGAAATTAAAAAATTGAAAAATTGAGAAATCGAAAAACCAAAAAAATGAAGTCGAAAAACCTAAGAATTGAAGAACTGAAAAATCGAAACTTTGAGATGTTGAGAAACGGGAAAACGGAAAAATCTAAAATTTAAAACATTGAACAATAAAAATATCGCAAAATTGAAAAATCAAAAAATAAAAATTCGAAAATAAATAAAAATCGAAAAATTGGATTGCTGAAAAATCGAAACATCGAAAAATTGGAAAATCGAAAAACTAAAAAGCCCAAAAGTAATCCAAAAATCGAATAATCGAAAAATTCAAAAACAGAAACATTGAGAAATCGAAACATCTGAATTTGATAAATCGAGAAATTAAAAAAATTGAGAAATCGCAGGATTTTAAAAAACAAAAATTGGAAAATTCAAAATTCAAAATTTCGAAAAATTGAAAGATTTAAATACATATAAAAGAACTGAAAACTCGAGAAATCGAAAAACCTAGAATTTAAAAAATTGAAAAATTAAAACGTCGAAAAGTTGAAAAATTGAAGAATCGAAGTACGTATAAAACAATCGAAAAATGGAAAATTCTAAAGTTTAACGAAAAATTGAAAATCCAAAAATCCAGGAGTCCAAAAATCGAAACATCGAAAAATCGGATAACTGAAAAAAATATCCAAAAATTGAGAAATTAAAAAATTGGAAAATTGAGAAATCGAAAAACTTTAAAAGCGACGTCGAAATTCGTAAGCTTAAAAAATCGAAAAACTGAAAAATCGAAAAATTGAAGAATAGGAAAAAATCAAAACTTTGGGAAATCGATAAATGAGAAAATAAAAAAAAAATACTTCAGAAATCGGAAAACTGAAAATTTGGAAACGTCAAAATTTGAAAAATTTAAAGATCGAAATACTTATTTAAAAATCGTGAAACTGAAGAGGAGAAAAATTGAGAAATCGCATCATTGAAACGCCGGAAAATTGAAAAATCGAAAAATAAAAAACTCGAGAAATCGAAAAACCTAGAATTTTAAAAATTGAAAATTAAAACATCGAAAAGTTGAAAAATTGAAGAGCCGAAGTACATATAAAACAATCGAAAAATTGAAAAATCTAAAGGTTAACGAAAATTTGAAAATCCAAAAATCCAGGAGTCCAAAAATCTAAAAGTCGAAAAATCGGAAAACTGAAAGAAATATCCAAAAATTGAGAAATTAAAAAATTGGAAAATTGAGAAAATCGAAAAACTTTAAAAGCGACATCAAAAATTCGTAAGCTTAAAAAATCGAAAAATTGAAGAATTGGAAAAAATCAAAACTCTGGGAAATCGAGAAATGGGAAGATAAAAGATTACTTCAGAAATCGGAAAACTGAAAATTTGATGCGTCAAAATCTGAAAAATTGAAACATCGAAATACTATATAAAAATCTTAAAACTGAAGAGGAGAAAAATTGAGAAATCGTATCATTGAAACATCGGAAAATTAAGAAATCGAAAAATAAAAAACTCGAGAAATCAGAAAACCTAGAATATTAAAAATTGAACAATTAAAACATCGAAAAGTTGAAAAATCTAAAGTTTAACGAAAAATTGAAAATTTAAAAATCCAGGAGTCCAAAAATCGAAAAGTCGAAAAATCGGAAAACTGAAAGAAATATCCAAAAATTGAGAAATTAAAAAATTGGAAAATTGAGAAATCGAAAAACTTTAAAAGCGAAGTCGAAAATTCGTAAGCTTAAAAAGTCGAAAAGCTGAAAAATCGAAAAATCGAAGAATTGGGAAAAATCAAAACTTTGGGAAAAAAATTTAAGATTACTTCAGGAATCGGAAAACTGAAAATTTGGAAGCTTCAAAATTTGAAAAATTGAAAGATCGAAATACTTATTTAAAAATCGTAAAATTGAAGAGGAGAAAAATTGAGAAATCGTATCATTGAAACATCGGAAAATTGAGAAATCGAAAAATAAAAACTCGAGAAATCCAAAAACCTAGAATTTTAAAAATTGAATAATTGAAACGTTGAAAAGTTGAAAAATTGAAGAATCGAAGTACATATAAAACAATCTAAAAATTGAAAAATGTAAAGTTTAACGAAAAATTGAATATCCAAAAATCCAGGAGTCCAAAAATCGAAAAGTCGAAAAATCGGAAAACTGAAAGAAATATCCAAAAATAGGCAAATTAAAAAATTGGAAAATTGAGAAATCGAAAAACTTTAAAAGCGACGGGGAAAATTCGTAAGCTTAAAAATTCGAAAAACTAAAAAATCGAAAAATTGAAGAATTGGAAAAAATCAAAACTTTGGGAAATCGAGAAATGGGATAATAAAAAAAAAGATTACTTCAGAAGTCGGAAAACTGAAAATTTGGAAACGTCAAAATTTGAAAAATTGAAAGAACGAAATAATAATAAACAAATTTTGGTGAGCGTTTTACTATTTGATAATACAATTTGACATATAAATGATCAAGAACTTTGTTCACTTATTGATAAATCGCTTAGAGTCGATATTGGCCTGGGTGCGCTCGGGTCTCTAGATCAAACAAGTTCTCAGGTTT